ATTTTCCGAGTCCAAATTTTATATTGCATTTACACTTAAACAGATAAAGTTTTATCGTTTTATTACTTTTCGTGTTTTTTTGTCACTCAAGTATACAATTATTGCTGGATAATTATAATAATAATGATAATAATAATAATAATGATAATAATAATAATAATGATGATAATAATAATAATGATAATAATAATGATAATAATAATAATAATGATAATAATAATGATAATAATAATAATTAATGATGGTGATAATGATGATAATAATGATTTTAAATATATTAAAACAAATAAGAAAATATTAATAAAATTACAAAAATATAAAGAATAGAATTATTTAGTACTTGCTATTAATAATATTCAAGAGGAATATCACCATTAACAAGTTCATTATTAGCGGGAGAATGAGGTAATTTTCCATTTCTTTTCATATAACCTAAAAATTGATCAGGAATTTCTTCTAAAACTGCTTTAGGTAATAAATATTTTGAATATTCCGTTTGAAAATCTCTCATGGCCACAAATTGTACGATATCACTTTCCATTTGAGTATTACCGTACTAGAATAAAAATATAGATAGATCTATAATTAGATAGATAGATAGATAGATATTAATATAGATAATAAATTGTAAAATTATAACATACAGTCAAAGGTACATCATCAGCATCCAATATATGCATCTTGGTAAAATCAGCATTTCCCACACCGACAATAACTATTGATAGAGGTAATGAACTAGCATTGATTATTGCTCTTATTGTTGATTCCATATCTAAAATAAATGAGATAATTAATAATTCATAATAATAATTTATATATAATTTATAATAAATATATAATACCTGTGATTACTCCATCTATATTTATATATATATATAGATATATATTATTATTGTTGTTATAAATTTATTGTAATTAAATATTCAATTATTAAAGATTAAAGATTGAAGATTTAAATTACCTGTAATTATTAATAATATATAATAAACCATATCATTTCCAGCATCCAATTCTGACTTAATTTTTGAGGCAGTATGATTTATTATCTGTTATTATTAAATAATATAAATAATAAATATAAATAATATAAATAATAAATATAAATAATATATAAATAATATAAATATAATATAGATATAAATAATATAAATATATAAAACTAATATAAATAAAAATAAATAATTAAGAAATAATGAAACAACATACAGGAGAAAAATTGGTAGGTCCATGTAATTCAACATAATTCATCGTATGTGAATATGCAGCTAATATTCCATCAATACCTGTAACTTCAGGCTATATAAAAATAATAGATAATAAATAATAATAAATGATTAATAGATAATAATAAATGAATAATAATAGATAATTTAATTTAATAATTAGATATTGAAATTTTACATTTCTATAATCATTATTCAATGGATAAATATGTGACAACACTCTATTAAATTTAGCACCAAATCCATAAACCTATATAAATATTAATAATATAATTAAATATAATATAAAATTAATGTCTGATATGATAATATAACTAATAAATTATTGTTGATTTAAACTTACAGGGAACCTTTTATCATAATCATATGCTTCCAGTCTACACAATTTTAAATTAAATATAAGCATAAATATAAATATTAAATAGAAAATATAAATAAATATATAATTACATTTTTCCCACACTAGAAATAGCTTTCTGATATAAATTTTCCTCATTTGGATTGATATAATGTAAACTGGTAGGATTTCTATGATCACCATTTGAAGCAGTAAAATCAATTGCCACCACTAAATTAATTTCTATACCACCAGCTATATAATCTAAGAAGGTAGGTGGTT